TCCATGGGTAAGTACCACAATGAGTTGTAATACATTGACAAAAAAAGCATGCTTGGTTCCTTTGTCTAGCTTTCTTGAGCACGGCAACAAGAATTTCCTTGCTTTTTGAGGGAGAGCCAAATGGACCATTATTCTCTAGCAAGCAGACATGGACCACCAGCAAGGCTAGGAACAGTTGGAAAAAGAAACTGAACAAGATCTAAGTCATTTAAGCATTTCCACATTTGGAGCAGTGCAAAAGTGAACTGAAGTTCTTAAGACACAACTTAATAAAAGATTCTACATTATAAGCATTCAAGTTTTCCTAGTGAATAACGATCGAGCAACTAACCAACAGATCCCATGGAGAACAAATAGATACTGCACCAGCTACAGGAATATTCTCTCCTTCTTCTCCAAGATACTTGACCTGTACAAAGATGTGGAATAAATATGTATTGTTTGTATCATGTTCTGAAATCAACTTATGCACTGTCAAAATTCTTACTGGTTGGGGGAGGAATTGGAATAATGATCATGAACATCATGGGATTCAGTACATACACAACATTAAAAAGTACAAGATTAATCACAAGTCTGACCATGACTATCAGATGACTGACCACCAATAGTGAATGCGAATGGAGTACCAGGAACAGATCAAAACCCAGCCAAAATTACTCAACGACAAGGCTAAAACAGTGGAGTGAGCTCAAAGAAAGTAAAGAGGAAGACTAAGCAGGTTGATGAATAGGGCTGGACTTGGTTTCATGAACCTTCACCAAATTTCAGTAAAACCCACTGCTTTACTAAAGTGTGGTTGAATTGCAGAAATAGTGGATAAGTCCAGAACAATTCTAGCTGATTTGGTACTTCTTAAAAAATCTTCACATAATTTAATATATGCAAAGGAAGACTTTGAAGAATGGACTGTGTCACCTAGTTTCTTCTAAAAATAATTAAGTTCATTCTGACCTTGGCCTAGTTAGAAAACAAATCACAATTGAAAACCCGAGTCGAACTTAAACTTAAGCTTGTACATGCATGACTCTTTTTAGCAAGAAGCTACTACCATCCATAAAAAAAAAACAAGTAACCTTGTGCAAATTTTAGCTAACAGTACAAATAACCTGCAACTAACACTTTTCCACATTAGGTAGCAGGAAATGGCAGCCGTCAGAATATGAAATAATGAAACATGCAGATTAGAAAAAAAAATTAAGATTACGCCAAGGAGAAACATGCATACCACAATATTGGCACCTATGCTTGTACCAATGCAAAACAGTGGGGTTTTCGGATATCTGTCATGCAGGTATTTAATGACCTCTCGGACATCTTCTGTCCAACCACCATTATAGAAGCAATCTGACTGCCAAAGGAAATAAAAATTACAAACTCAGTGGCGATGGATACTGAAAAAATCGTTTGGTGTCTCAGAAACATGATGCAGTGTAAACAGACAACTTATAACTTGATGTGGATTTTATCATTTTGCACCATCATTGGTGGCAATCAGATATATGGCTAACAAGAGCCACAGATCTTGGGCAAAAACATTGAGCATTACAATCTGAACCCAAACAGAGATCATGAGTGTTCAAGAAAGTTTAAATGGTATAGTAACTGAATTTTAAGTACTTGCTGTTTCAGTTAGATAACTTACAGTAATGGACACACCACCAAGACCCCTGTGGTTGCATACAACAACATTCCATCCTTTGCTTGCCATGGAATAAACCAAGTGTTTTGCATACTGCAGCAAGTGATTACATCTTTAGAATAACTAGCAAATTTAGAAATAAGTTATACAACAGAAATACAAAGAGCTCTTCAAATATGCAAATACAATACAGAAATAAGTCAACATCAGAAAATAAGATAGAAACTAACAGCAGCAGCAGAATCACTAGTTAATCCAGGAACCACAACTACAAGGGGTGTTGAAGCATCTTTAGAAATGAATCCGTCCGCAACTGCAAAATAACTGAAGAGGTCAGACAATACCATCATGCCATATATATATTACACAGAATATGGGTCTCTCTACCTTCCAAATCAGATGCGAGCAGCCAATCCAAAGCAATGGTTCCACCATCACGAACTGTGTACAACTGTCTGCAGTGCAGAGATTTTAATCAGTGCACTGCCAATTAAGAAAGCAAGAAAATAATTTTTGTTCACTCCACTAAAAAATAAGCATAGATCCTGAAGAATTTAGTTAAGGGGGCTTAAACTACAGAAAATCAGTTCTATTGTGCTCCTTGTCAGGAAGCACACAATTAGTTTCAATAAGAAATGGTGAAATGCAAACTATTGCTATTCAGCTTTCTTTCTTTCTTTTTCTTTCCTTTCATGCAAGGTCCATATTGAATTATGAAACTCTAAATTTCCCTGAACACCAATGGAGTGACCAAAATTATCTTGACATGTCGAGGAATTCATCCATGGAATTGAAAAGAGGCTGGCAAGAATGCCCAGAAATTCTTGCAGCGCTCAAGCCACTCATGAAAGCTTATTGAGACATGCATATACCACTCCACAGAAAAATAGAAGCATCATGGACTTATTGACATTAGATCTTACTCCGATTTCAAATATGTACCTTCTATGATTCTTGTTTTGTCAAACTTTTTAGCTTTCACCATGACAGCGCATGGTCGATGTTACTAGATTCATGGTAAAAGATACTTTCATACTATATAATCCTTTATTTGTAGTAGTCATATATATATATATATATATTTTTTTTAAATGCTGGGCAAAGTGTCATACTGAAGATCGTGTCAATTTCGTAAACAAATATAATTATACTGCAATATATGGTCATGTGATGCTAACCATACTTGAAAGAACAAACTATTGATAGTGTCCACTGTACATCTAAATGGCTAGGGTGAATAAGGGAATTGATTGTAACTCTCTCCTGGGTAACGAATATAACCTTTTGTACGTGAATGAAGGTGGCATTCCGTAGATGCCCAGGAACAATGTCTGCAAATGCGGGCTCGCCAGCCATGGCGTCGCCAGATACCTGCATAATTACACCACAAATCCATCATCACTCCCAACTTTTAAACTCATCATCACACAATGGAAACAATACGTCGCATGATTCAGAACACCACATTGCAAATTCCATCACAGTTGACCAAACACGCCCAATGCTGGTAATACCGCTACACTACGACGATCAGGCCTAGAGAGCCCCATAGCCATACCTGCCGTGGAGCGAGCGGCACTTGGACGCGACGCAGTGGTAGATCTCCGAGGTGGGGTGGAAGGTGAGCTCGACGCGGCCGCCCCGGAAGCCGCGGAGGATGTCGCCGATGACGTGGAGCTCGAGGAAGCAGTACAGAAAGACGGACACGACGATGATGGCGGCCAGCGCGTAGCGCTCCGCGGGCACCATCGCCGCCGCGCGGAGCAGCAGCTCGACGGCCGACTCGCCCCCGGCGACGGCCTCCGACATCCTTCGCTAATCGCTACGCCCGCCTTGAGGCCTTCGGGTTCTGCGATTTGGGAGCGGCGCTCCGCTCCGTGAGGATGGAGGACAAGATGCGGCCGGACGCACGCCCTGGTCAACGTCGCGAGCTCCTCGAGGCCACCTCGCCGGCGCGGAGAGGCGACCGGTGCGGTGGGAGTTATGAAGCAGATCGGGCGGCTATTCCGAGGTTCGGCGGAGCACGCGATTCACACCGTGGACGGACCGACGGAGATGCAAAGAGCGCTTTCCTGGTTCCCTGGACGATTACGTTGTTGTCGTTGAAGTGACCTTCGCGTAAGTGGCGCGCGGGTGGGGCATGGATGTCGGGGTCACGTTGACGTCGTCGGGCTCGGGCTTACAGCAAGCGACTCGCGAAGCGGGACCGGGACGCTACCAGGAGATCCGATGTTTGGGCCCACTTTACAGAGGCCAGCGTTCACGTTTGTTGGTGCGTGCGGCAAGACGAGCGGTTGAGCAACGGTCCACGTGAACTTCCAGATGTGATGGAAGAACTACACACAAAAAAAGTCGTAAAAAACTATTACAATTCTATTTTATATAAGTATTCTACAAAGATATGATGCGCGGATACTTCAGAAGGGTAGGGTATCGCGTATCCCATACGTCCTGGATACGTATTCCAAGTGTATCTGAGAAATCAGACACGTATCGGCTCTGATACGCGTATCGGACGCGGCTGCAGTACGGGCTGCGGCCAGGCGTTCCCAGCCCAGGCCCACTCCTCCCACGTACGGAGTAGGTCGCATCACTGGCCGACCCCTTCGATTCCCTCCCCGACGCACAAGCTTCAAACGCGCCGCCACGAGTTGTCTCGCGCACATCCAGCGACCGATGGACGATGGCCTGATGAGCTCCATCTCCGATGAAGATCGACCAGCATCAGCCCTCAATTTTCTTCTGCTCGCGAGTCTCGTTTGGGCATTTGGCATCTTTTATTCTTCTATCATCAGCATGTTCGGTGGCTCGTATCTGACTTATAAGTCTTATCTTATCAATCAACGAATAATATTTTTCTCTCACACCAAACCAATCAACAATACTTTCAGCCGTGGCTTATAAGCCAGCCAAAACCAACAGGCTGCATGTCATGGCATCGCTGCTACAGGATGTCGCCCACCTGGTTCCCATGGCCGGACGTCGTTGTCTCGTTGAATGGTCTAGCATGTTTTTGTTAAATCATTCATACGAACTAGCATGTTTGTTGTTTATTAATGTACATGATGCGCATCTCTCGATCTTTTTATTCTTTGTGCGTATGTGTCTTGTTTTTTTTTTGTATCTTTTGCACGTATATACGAGTTCTCTCACTTAGGCCTCAATGGAAGATTTCATTCCACTGTTTTCAACACATAATAACTAGGAATGAAATAGACTCTCTCGGTGCACATTTACATTTTACTATTTTATAGGCTAGTTACAACATTTAATTCTTATATTACATTTTACTATTTTATAGACTAATTACAACATTTAATTCTTATAACGTGCTGTGATCGATCGTATCTTGTTAACTATGTACTGCACTGCTCGCTTCAGCAACGCCAACAAGTGGCTGCCGGCCTACAGCAAAACAGCAGAGTGCCAGTGCACTGTAGCTATGCAGCTGTATCTACAGACTAGTACGACCAGAGGTGCAGCTAATCTGATCAGATTTGTAGCCATCTCGACTCCAATTTCATCGTTATCTCCTTCCTCTGCCAACGCAGCAACCAATGCGCCGGCCAAATTCTCTAAACCTGCTCTACCTGTCTTCAATTCCTTAAATCCACAAACGCGCCTTGAGCTTCTCATCCTTTTCCCTAAGATTGGATTGAGCAATTTCAACAGGAAGTCATCTTCCCCAGCGAGCAGACCGTGCAGTGGAGGAGCTAGCAGCCATGGCCCCAAGCTGCGGGTGGCCGCGGCGCCCGGCCCTGGCTTCCCCGACGACGCGGAGGCATCGGCGGCTCTGGCCCCAAGCCGCGGCGGCCCCTGCTTCCACGGTCTCATCACGGACCCGCTCCACAGCCGCAGCGCCCGGCCCCTGCTTCCACGGCCTCGTCACGGCGCCCGGCCCCTCTTCCCCGGCCTCGTCACGGACCCGCTCCACCGCCGCGGGTCCGAGAGCTCACTGTGCAAAGGCCACCGGCGTTTCGTCAACATCTCCGGGGTGGCGGAGCCGCACGGCACGCTGCAAAGGCCAGTCGGGCCCGGGCTGCGGCTCCTGCTGGGCGTTCACCGGCCGCAATGGATCGGATGAAACAAGAGAAACCGTCTCAATAATACAGGTTTCACGCGGTTTCCTAGTCGTGGGAAACAGCGCCGATCCTTTTTTTTTTACCACGAAACTCTAATCTTCTCTCTTCTCTGATAGATGCAAAACAGACATGTCGTATCATTTAATGCTCGTAAAACTCCATGACACTCAATTGAGACAGGTCTTAAATAGACATCCTATAAATAAACATATATTCAACTCACTAAACTTGCTATTGGTTTGTTTTTTATTTACTAAATACATTATTAAAATATATTAGCCGTATCTCCGTGTCATTAATTTTTCTAACAATGGCGTATCCACGCTGGCCCCGTTCAGCTTACCTTATAATTCGCACTATTCAGCTTATTTTTTCAGTAGTGTTTTTCTCTCATAACAATTCAACCAGAACAGTGTTTTTCAGCCCATTATCCGATACTTGTATCTATATCTAGGCAATTTACTATTATGCAATAAAATGGCAGGATGTCAGAATGTATAGGTACAAATTATTTGTTTTTTTTGTCTAACTAACACATATATAGAAAATAAAAAAGAGTAAGGATGTATGCGTCTTTTTTATTGTATATGCTAACTTTTCTCGATATATGAGAACCGAGGAAGTACTCATGTAGGAAAAAAATAGTATCAATATTTATTATAGTACATCAAATTAATATATGCTATCAGAATATACTACGTGACATACTATAAAAGCTAATAATCTTAACATTCTTTCTAGCAGCTAGTATGGTGCCGCCGTACTTGGGCTCCCTATCCGCCATGCCACAGCACTACGACATCCTATCACCCATCTTATGTCCAATTTGGTGGTCCTCTTGAAGTTCGCCTACCTAAGTTGGTACGAGGGCTTGTCACAAGCTGTTTCACTACTACTACGCCTACCATATGTGCCCGACATTGAACGCGACCAACAATTGCTACATGTGGCTCTACACCGTCGCCGCCCATGAGTTTCTTTCCCTCTAGCTCGGCACTTCATGGAAGGTCTGGAAAGAAAAATGGGCCTACGTCGAGGACCATAGTGGCCTCAATGAGACATGCATACCAACATCACCCACCTTGCCCTGGGACACCCAGAGTGTGACGGTGTGACCCCTCTAGGCACATGTGTGGTGAATGCCCTTCAAGAAAGTGTGATAGCCCTCTAGGGATTCGAGCTCACTGGGCCATGGTACTGGCCTACACCATCACGCGCTAGCTATCACAACTCTACCAATGGGTGTGTTTGGTGTACTCTTACTATGGAGATAACAACATTGTCGGATTGTTTTTGCTCCGGCAATATCCAGGAACGTGATCGCGTAGACGGAATCTATGGTAGCACACGAGACATAATGATTTATACTGATTCGGGGCGTGGTACACGCTAATCCCTACTCCAGTGGTGCTGCTGCTCTTGTATTCGTATGCTCAATTACAGGGGCCGCTGCTCCTAGCTACGAGGTAGATGGAATAGGTGGAAGATTAGATCATGAGCCTAAGATCCCTACCCTCTTTTATATAGGTAAGAGAGGTAGGATCACAGAGAGGGCGATCGGGCTAACAGATTATTTCCTAGTTTGTTACAACAGATTGATCATTGCTATCGTCTAAATACGCCCGTCTCGGTTTGCCTTGATCTCCACGTTGGTCGACCGCGTTAGCCCTTGTGGGCCTCTCCTTGACGGCTGGTGGGCAGATAGGTCAGTCATGGTCATATATATGGGCGGTGCAGGTACCCCTGGCCCAAATCTCTAACAGTAGCCCCCGTAGGACTTAATAATAAGGTAGCACATAGCTTCAAGCCCTCAGGAAGTCGCGGTCTCTCCTATAAGTTCTGCGTACTGTGAGTACATAGTGAGCATCTTCTGGTGCCCAAGTCTCGAGAGTGCAAGTAGATATTTCTAGGAGCCAGTATATTAACGTTTGAGTACCAAGAGCATTTCTCGGTATCGAGAATCTTCTTCAAGCATCGAGTGCGGCGGTGGTACACCGTACATCAAGGGACATTGCCCCCTGACAGCTATAAGTGCCTAGCTCGGGCGGTTCACCCCATATTAGGAAACATAGTTTCTTGGGCGTAGCCCTCGGGACGTTGTCAATGTCGTGTTCGGGTGGTGTGCCCGATAACCGGAAGCGTAGCTTCCAGGACATCGTGGATGCCAGGTTAGGGTAGAAATACCGTTGTACTCGAGAAGTTGGTTCCCGACGTATTCCGGTGTGTAAATAGTGGTTGTGCATCATTAAGTCCTAGTTGTAAAACAATAATGAGGATGGGGTAGGTGCACCTCCATCGCCCGCACGTCACTAAGCCAGTTGATTTTTAGGGTGACCTGTTGAAGGTTGTTTTGTTATCAAGCACTAAGGACGTCATGTTTTTCTTTGAGACCCGTTAAGCAATGTGGTACGAATTGTCGTAAGCCTCGCTTAGTGGAAGAATAAGGACGTTGTCCCAGAGCCCTGAGGCCAATATAACAGTATCCCGATGCGGGCAATACTGTGGGTGAGTAACGAACGCGTGAGCAGCTGTCGGCAGTTGCGTGTGTTACTCTTCGAGCTGATAACAAGTAGAACGAGTGAACATCCACTTCACTGAAAGGAAGCGGCAAGACAAAGCCAGACCAGCGAGGGCACGTCATACCACTCTTTTTCTAGATTTCAGGAGCTCGTACTTTGGTTACAGCCATGGGCCAACCAATTTTCCGGTTTCCCCCAAAGGGGCATACATCCGCTAAAATAAGGTACTTCGAGCTCGTCTAGGTATTGGAAGATTTACGTGACACTGAGTGCCAGAGGTTTTAGAGCCAGACTAGTGGCCCTCCTAAATACCCCCTGACTTTAGAGGGGCAGGGTTGATAGCGAATGAATCGCTATCGTTTACACCTACTAAGAGGGTGAACCGGGCCGAGTACCTGATCTAAGTGTCAGATCACTCACCTGCACCGACTCGGGTGATGATGCATCAGATTTCTGACCATTTGGTCCCACAACCTCCATGGTTATGCGAATGGGTTCCTTCTCTACAAAGCAGAGGCGTCGGTTTTGGCGGCTCATCTCCCCACGCTGTGCCTCTCAGAGATTGTGGAGGCGTAGCCGGGCCTTCCATCCATGGGAAGCTCGTGAAATGGTCAGAAATCCCCCGGAAGCTCGTGGAGACTGCTAGGATTCCATCGACCATGCGCGTCCCCTGCCTATAAAATAGAGGAATTGGGAAGGAGAGTTAGTACACCTGCATAGTAGCCTTTGCACGCTTACCTTCCCTTGCTCATCGCATCTTTTGTAGTTGCTAGATCTTGCCTTCCATCCATGGCCGGAGAGAAGCACCGATGGGAGGAGTCCGAGGAGGGACCCGTCGAGAGAGGTGTGCCTCCCTCTATCGGGCCTTCCATCTAGGCTTGATGGGGTTCGGGTAAGGATGGATCTATTGTCGACTTCGTTGAAGATGAATCTGACGCATTTCTTGATGTAGTGGTTTCTTATCGGTGCGCTCGATGCCGTGGCCCGCCGCCGTCTGAGAGGCCTAGGCGCCGTCATGTCCCCCAACAATGCAGGCTGTGCTGCCACCAGCCTCGCCTTCCTTTGATGAGGAGGAGGTCGAAGGAGACAAGCACGACATCCACACCGTGCGAGGGGAGCTGGCCGTGGCCGGGCAATCCCTCCGGGATGGGTGATAGGAGATGGAACGACTGAAGGAGTGCCTTGTGGTGACCAAGACCACGCTCAGCATCATGGATAGGGAGGCGGCCGATGCTAGGGCCGCCATCGCGGTGACCCACACAGAGCTCGTCGGTGAGTTGAACTTATTTGCTTCCTTTACAGAATTGCTTGTAGTGTTGATCTTGACCCTCTGTGTTTCCCAGTGACATAGGTGCAGCTAGGTGTTGTCTTAGCTGAGGCAGTGGATCTTCGCCAGGCCAACGAGGAGTTAGGCGGCAAGCTGGTGGAGGTGACTCATCTATGTGACGAGTCGATGGACTGGACGTGTGGCGGTGCTACCATGGCACGAATCAATAGTAACCACTGCGTGGCGTTGGAGAAGGCGGTGGAGGCCGCCGTCAAGCTAGTGCGGCCAGCAGGGTCAGGTCTTCACGAGCAGGCCCTCGGCCTCCCTACGTGGATTAGGGATGTAACGACGCATGGTGTTCTCCATGGGACTACGATGGCCCTTGCCGCTGCTCACCTCTGTCTTCAGCCAGAGGTGCACCTGCATGCGATAGAACCTAGGTTCCCATCGTGGGCGGAAGTGCCTAAGGACGTTGACGTTAAGCAACTGATAGCCAAGTTTGGTGTCACCACCAACGCCATTGCGGTGGTTGTAAATGTAGAGCAAGTCATCATGGTCACTCCTCATTGAGGTCGGGTCCTGTTGGTTTGTGTTGTGTAAAATATTATCTTGAATAAAATTTCACTTTGTAGACTAGTAGTTGTGTTATATTGTAGTAGTAGCCCTCGAGCACTTGGGCAGGTTAGTATAACGTGCCTGAGTGCTGAGCCCACTTATATCACCTCGACTACTTTGGATTTGCCAAGTCGGCGTAATGCTCCCGAGTGTATCGGGTCGAATGTCATCTGGCCAGTATGGCTTTATTCGGAGGTGACATTGCATAACACGTAGGATGTAGCCCCCAAGCCATTCTTTAGGAAAGTGTTTCCTTGCCTGTTTAAGGCATAAAATCATTTTGTGCATAGCAACCATGTGTTTTTGTTGTTAAAAAAGAAAGAAGGGGGGACAACGGTTGGTGCGTATTAATAGCACTGGCAAGTTTTGCCCTGTTGTCTTCTTCCCTCCCCTACTCGGAGTTGACCCGAGGTTTAGTCCACCTAAAAGTGCAATCAAGCCTTAATTGTGGTTTTTGGTGATAATGACCATGCAATTAGAGAACTAATGAGATTTATCGATACAACAAGCAGGGAATTTATATTCGAGGATGCTACACGAAACGGAGGAGCCTCCAATTATAAATGTAGATGGCTACAAACTCAAATGAGGTTTAAATTTT